TGTTTCTTTATTTTCCTTTCACGTCGTCTCCCGTGTATCACCACAACGCTGTATCATTTGCTTTCTCTGAGATCAAATCTATCTCCCTGGCGTAGGATTGTACAGGTATGGAATTTTCAGCATGTGATATAGGTAGCCCAAATTTTGCAGGCCGGCCATAGATATTAGGTGTGCATCGGCAGGGGATAGAATAGCTCAGTGGTAACGTCTCTGACTGCAACACTGGGTGACGCGGGTTCGAATCTCAGAAAGGGCATGGGTTCCTTCAAGGTTGCAGATACGCCTTGTTGACTGGTGACTGCCAACTAGCACGAAACCTACATTCAGGGCTTCCTGCCGATTGCCTTCAACCATATAATATCATCATATCTCCCTGCTATTTGATGTTTTTCTGCTGAACGTCTCTCTATATACTACTGAGAAATCTTAACAGTAGCACACGCCTCACTCGTCCACCCATCGAATACTAGCTCACCTGGCCGCTCTACACTGTTGTAAGCCGCCTCTGCTCGGCTTCTCAGCAGGTGAAAAGCAAACCTGGAAGGTATTGTTGGTTGGACGATTGGTGGCAGAGTTCGACAGCCCGACGGACAAGCAGCTGACGATTCAGCAGTTCCGTGCCGCGAATCTGGGACTGGGCGGAAACCCGCTAGTGTTGGCGGTGAAGCTGATGAATCTACTAAGTCGCTCACTGCCCATATAGGTTGAAGAGTCGGAGTCGCCGCTATTAACGTCTCAGTTCATCCGGAGTCTCTCAGACCACATTTCTCAACAACTAAAATTGATTGTACTACCCATGGATACTAGTGAGCTAGTCAAGGTGACCAGACAGCCATTGGACACAAAGGTAGCCATAATAGAGCCACCGAAGTTGAATGAATGGGAGCAGAAAGTTGAAGATTTGCAGCTTGAATTGGCGACACTGCGAGTGAGTGCCAGGAAAAGCCGATGCTTTGAATGTGAAAAGCAGGACACTGGAGGAGGCAATGGCCAGAAAGGAGAAGAAAAAATTTCAGACAGTATAGTGTGCGTTCTTTCTCTTCTATCAGATTAGAAATAGTGGGGGATATCGAGATGCGGAGCGTGTATTCTAAGTCGCGAGAGAATGGCAGAAAAGTAGTTCTTTAAATAGATACAGGAGCGGCAGTCTCACCAACAGATAGGAATCTATTTCAGAGAGTCCAACCATGTTCATTGGCAGTTCAAATGGTAGGTGGGCGTGTGTTAAGCATCACGGGCATATCAAACTGTAGCGTTTTTATTGTTGCGTCAAAATTACAGTGAACAATACTTGGGGTTTATTTTCTGCGAGTTTGGTGAGGTCTGGTAAGAGCTGATTACGTCTCGAAGTGGGGTCATGAGAAAAAAACAATAACAAGGCTTACCCTTGGGGAACTCAACAAGCAATCACAGCAGGCTTAACGCGTGCAAATACGATTCGCAGATATATATATATATATAAACAGCGGTTCGATCAATGGAAAGTATACATTGACTTTCTTGCCTTACCTTTTGTTGTTACACAGTTAAGGCATTAAGGGACATTATCCGTATGTACGGTGGATCGGTTTCCGCAGACATGCAGTGGCGATCAGTACCTCTCGGTCATGACGGAACACGCTACATGATGAGTAGACGCCATCACGATCCCTGATCAACGCGCGAGAACCGTGACTGACGCGTATTTCGACATATCGGTGCAGACCGTGGTGTACCAAAGAAGATATTGACAGATCGGGGTCCTTGTTTTGAAAGTGAAGAAGTCATTTCCAATTTGCAAAAACTAAAGATTAAGAAAATTCGAACACCATATCACCCACAAACGAATGGTCTGTCAGAGAGAAATAACCCGTCACTGAAGGAGTGGCCAGTCTCGAAGCAGGGTAACTGGGAGACAGATTCCATGGATTCCGCTAGCACACCATGCTTCCACTCAGGAAAAAACAATGAAATTACCGCTTTAGCTGATGTATGAGAGGAAACCAAAACTACCGGTGCACAGCACAACCTAGCCACTTCGCCAAGAGTAGGATACGTAGAGACTGAGGACGAAACGGAAGGAAGCCGTCAGGAATGCATAGCATAGACAAAAATACGCCGTGAAATCAGAGCAGTCAGAAAAGATGGGATGCATAACCTTTGAGGTCGTGGATCAAGTAAACTGTAGGAGAAAGAAAGTACGCGGTTAGATGTAAGCCATGTTAACGGAAACTCCTTCGAAAGTGGGAAGCTTCATTCACTGTCACCCAGAAACGTGGTCCCTTTTATACCATCAACTGAGAAAATGGATTCAGTAAGATAAGGAAGCCGACGCCAAGGTCAAAGAGGAAGAAGTAGAACGAAGAAGGTCGCAGCGGCTCCGTTCGAAACTATTTAATGGGTGGACAAGTGTGGCGTGTGCTACTCATAAGATTTATCAGTAGTATGTGAAGAGACGTTCATCAGCAGAAAAACATCAAATAGCAGGGAGATAGATTTGATACAGCGTTGTGGTGATACACGGGAGACGACGTGAAAGGAAAATAAAGAAACACAACATGAAGGAAGGAACGGCAGAAGTAGCACAACATGTGAGGATCAGTGTAAATTGGTGTGTTGATGATAAGGTGTACATAATTTCGATACATATAGATACCAAATTCCAAATGAATATTCCTTACCATATCTGTTGTTTTGAATCTTTGTATTAGGAGGCTGTAATAAATTGAGGTATATGTGCATAACCTTATTTAAATATGGGTTGAAATGTATTTTAAAGGCAGTTCTATATCGAGTCTCCACGATATGCTTTGCGATACGCGACATTGTTTATTTTTTCCGAAGGTTAATCGAATCAAGCGACTTCATTTCCTTTTGCAACCATCCATGAATGTGTTTTGTTGCCCTAGCTTGCACAGATCGCAGGATCCTGCCTATGATAAACTATCTGATTATTAAAACAGTCAAGTGACAAGTAACTTCTAGGGAGATCATTTATTCGTTCTTACTAAACGTAAACAGTAGTAAAGATTGTAACCTAGTTCACTTATATAAGCGCATTTTAAGACCAGAAACAAGCAATTACTCTTCGTTGCTAAAGCGAAATTGTGTTTAACTGGCTTCGCTTGTCAACTTTTTAATGTGCTACAGGTTCATTAGATAAACAACCGGAATGTATCATAAATTTACAATACACCTGGCTGTGGCTTAAATAACCTTAAAAAAATATAGTGCATGCAATAAATCGTTATGATATGCAATTAGCACTAGCTTTCAGTTAATAGTTCACTGCCAGTATACCAATACACATAGAGAAATTAAATAGCAGACGTAATTGTTGCTCTTTTTCAACAAGAAACGTCCGCAACTTTGAGGTAATCGGGGACATGAGATAAAACGAGAACAAAGCCTAACCTTGAGGAACTCAAGAAACAATCACAGAAGGCGTAAAGTGTGCTAACACGACTCACAGATATATGGTTTAACTTTCTAAGAAACGGTCACAAGCAGTAATGAATGACCTTCAGCAAGAAAACAACCAATCAGTAGACACTGCTTCTCTGATAACAATAGTGCTAATAATAATGCACATCAAAATCTATAAATATCTCTTGATTTTTTCAATGAACTATCTGTTTCCTGGCCATTGTCTTCTGTCGTTACACTATCATTAATGTAAAGGTAAAGATTTGGAACCAAGGTGACAAGTCATTCGGTATTTGTGAGTTTGTTTAATATGCAGTACAGTGACAGAGTTATTAACTGGATTTAACTCTTATAATTATAACAACGTTAACACTAAGTTATTCCATTCCCCTGACTAACCTAGTATAGATTGATGGATCGGTTACACCTGAACATCGTCAGGTTTATGGAGCGCCAGACCCTCGAGTGGGAAATGAAGAGTTGGGCGTCGCTTCGAGGGTAACATGGAGGAGATGAGGGACTATGGGCAATCGTGGAAACAGCTGAGGAGAGCGAAGGAGAGTAGAAAAAACTGGGAATGTTCTGTTTAAACCCTATGTTCCACCCGGACTCCAAGGGAACAATAATAATAATAATCCGATCATCCAAACATTTCATGATGAAATTATACAACACATGTAGTAAATATTTAGCAACATCAAAACATGGACAACGGAAACATCTTCAGAATAATATAAACAAAAATGCACACTTATGACAGCTGTATTCGTATTAACCTGGCTAACACATTAAATTAACATGAATAAGTTGATATAGATAATCACAAAATTCATTTACAGGAGCGTAACGTCTAGTATTATAATATTCCCTTCAGAATCACAAACACACGTTTTCAAATCAGACAGTGATATAAGATACTTTGAGAAGTTAATTGAATGTACACTTGGTTAGCAATACAGCAATAACAACAAAATTCGTTACAAATAATTCTGCACGTAAAGCGGCAAAATCAATTATCACCATTAGTATAAAGAAAACACTATGTCTAGCAGCAGACATAGGAAACATGTTTTCACCATTGCAAATGCGAATATGTATAGCTAGAAAATACAGGACATATTGTCCGCCATACCTAAGGTGGTAAATCAAAACTTACGAAGACTATTTATGAGAATAACCCAGGGTTTTTCAAATAAACTGACTTGATCGGCAAATATATGGTTAAAATGTTTGAAATATATTATGCAAATGTACCACAGTTTTCAGACAACTCTGTCTTCTAAATAACACCATCTCGACTTATTCAAGGAACTAATTATTTTAAATATCCAGGTAAGCAGGATATAAGGACGAAAACGTTTAGAATAGCCCCTAAAAGTTCCACTATACACAATTTCCTGTCACACATCAACTGAATGATCAAACATCGGGATTAAAAGATCGTGTAGTCTAACAGGGAAAACAGGAGTACAACTGCAGGACTGATTCCAATCTGTCTTTAAAACATTTATTTTACCACCAAAATTCTACATACAAACATAAGTGAAAATTAAACATGAATGGAGTATAAAACATGAGTTTAACAAAATACTTACCTCACAGGGTAAATTTCCACGTTCTAATATATACAAATGATGCACAGCAGTTTGACGCTGGTCGAATGGATGATTGGCAATACGAAATAAGTTGAATGAATGACCTCGCTTGCAAGCAGTAAACAAAAGGCTTCCCGATGGGTCAAACTTTAGAAGTGCGACGTTAGCCCAGCGATGAGCCTGTAGATTGAAATGTTTTGAAGTAAAAGATGAAAATAGTAGATGAATATACTAGCAATTACGCGAAACTGACACACTAAATAAACAAATAAGAATGACGAAAATAATATAAGAATTCAAAGCCTCTGTAGTACTGCCGCATGCATAAAGAAGGAACGTCAGAGGCCTTATGTAGGATTCTCAATGACGCTGGAATCAGGGTGGCGCATTTGAACCAACCAACCAACCAAACAACTCTCAGAGACAAACTTTGTCGGCTTAACGACCCAATAGATCCAGTTAAGAAAAATAATATAATTTACCAAATACCATTTAATGACTTTGGGGTCAGTTACATAGGTCAAACTAGTAGATCTGGGTCAACTAGATTACGGGAATATAAAAATTTAGTTAGACCTACAATGATGATTGACCCTGCTAAGTTAAATAACGCAGAAAAAAGCTCAGCCATTGCACTGTATTTACTTGCATGTAATCACAAAATAGGTTTTGAGAGGCTGAGAGTATTAAAAAGTAATGAAGTTAATTGGAGAGAGAGAAAGAGGTTAGTCATTGGAGCTTTGTTTATCGATTCAACACCGCACATGTGCAATCTGAATGAAGTAACGCATATACCGGAGATATGGAAAGTGGCAACAAACGAAGGGAAGTTGGAAAGAGAAAATATAAGACAAATTGTGAAACCGTGTAACTAAATTTATACGATTATGAGTGGTAATAATTTATGCTCGAAACCTCATTCAGTTGTTAATACAACATCACTGTGTGATATTTAAAATAAACTTACATAATATGGAATTACATTTTACCACAGTGTCCAAGTTCTGCACTTAGATTAAAAGATGAAAAATTACAAATGTAGCAGACAATAAATGAGCATGAACAAAAGTTTTTGTAACCTGCGTCTTTCAACACATTGTAGTCGGTATATGACACAAGGATTTACACTGTGAAAGAAATTCAGATTAGTTTCCAACACTGGCAATTTATTCGAAATATTTGCGTGTCGTTTTACGTTCCAGGTGATACTCATTTGATTTACAGCATTACAGGATACCGCTATTTGCACAAATGACATTAACAGAGCTTGTCTCGAAATGTCAAGAGATTGAGACAAATAACTAACAAGATAGTCTGATTATCATTTATTAAACTTGAAACACAAAGAGGACAAACAAGCAAAACAAATTTTAAAAAATCAATGTGAATTATTTGTAATCGTTTTGTCCGACTGACACCAGTTTGATAACTAATCACTCCTAACTTCTAGTCGAGAAATTTGAGGCTGTACAGCTCATCTAGCCACTTCTTGTAGTTGCGGACTGACTCACTCATTGACATACTAAGCAGATTTCCTGTAGGTGTACACAATTCTACAGCATTCAAAGAAACTCATACCACATTTAACTCCTTTCCAACCTAGTTCTACACCTTCACTGAAACAACACAATGAGACAAAAACAGTGAAAAATCACGCGCCACGCACATCTCATTAGACATTATGAACAACACTACAGCCATAAAGTGCCTAACAGTTAATCACCTACATGCGTGGTTCAAAACATCAAACTTAGTGTATCGTCCGTAGACTCAGATGCACCTCCCAAGCAAAATGCAACTGAGTAATCACTGAAACACAATAACTGCTACCAAAAGTTGACGGCATTCAGCAGTAAAATGTATTATTCGAATTTTGTCTATTTGAGGACCCCGGGTTGGATGCAAATGAAACAAAAATATAAGCATATCGAACGCACTTCAGGTTCACGAAAAGGTTGAAAATATGCGTTCAGCATAAAGCACTATGTGAGTAGGGTTGCAAAGATACTCTACTATCTATCTAAGGTATGAAAGTCCTGCGCAGAAGTAAGCACTATCCTACTCTAAGGCTGAAATATACGATAACTCATGACGTCGACTGAGTGATATAACTGAAGGGTGCAGTTGCAGACAGGCCGAGGTGAGGAAACTAGCCAATCAATACGATTATGAACCTTTATAGACTGCATTAGTCGCAGTATATACACTGGAGATCCTGGGTTATCAGTTTCCTCAAGGGGACATTCTTAGACGGATCATGATGGAGATAACTTGAGAGTGGTTACACCAATCACGCGGAAACATATGAAGCCTTTGCTCGTCAATAACTTTTAAAATGTGCTAATTTCATCAACAAATGTGTATAATCTCGCAACAATGAATCTGTTTGTTTACCAGAGAGACATCAGGCATCTTACAAAAAGTACAGAAAAACTTCACCAGGTACTATTTGGAGTCAGTAAACAACGTATGGAGAGAACGTGAGAGAAATTGACATCTTCCTTTCTTCCACAAAAATTTTGACAGAGCTATGTGACACATTTAAAGCATTCCAAGCTAATTCCATACGCAACTATTAGAGATAGTGTAACCAAAATGAAGTGGAAAAGGTGCTTATATAAAGATTAAAAACAAACTTTACAAAATATGCATACCATGAAGTGGGCAACTATTCCTCCTGAACCGCCAAATTCATGTACATTCAAATACTTTGTCCCTGACATTACAATATTAGCATGTTCATTATTAGCCGAGTGAGTTTGAGACTTTTGATCAGGCATGTCATTACATTCAGCCAACGGTTTACATGGATTAGAATGGCTAGCACACAGGTGAATCGATGTTGTGTACTTTTCAAGTTTACGTAACTCAAATTCACAGTTCAAAGTATGCAAATCTACGATTGTCACATAACCGGGAGAGATAGTTCCATTGGAGTCACTAAACTCAGAAGTAGTTAAACCAGACTTATGACGCTGGAAAGAGTCAGTTGAACTTGACTGTGGCGGCTGACTTTGCGGACTGAGATGATTTGTGGGTAACGTTGGTGAATTTGAAACCAGAGGATTAGAGACAACTGAGTTAGCCAAGGCTGAAATGCCATCCCACAGACGCTTAAAATATACGCATGAAAAATGTGTAAGATTTAGTGTTAACACAGAAACGACTACCAAAATTGTACGGTAAGTATTGAAGTAAAAGTGACTTACCCGTCTAGAAATTTGATTAAAAGGAATAAAACTTTGCTAGGAACAGATAAAAAATAAAATTATGAATGTCTTACGACACACTAATCTTGTCTGTCCACAAAACTTACCAAATCAAATATTTTCAGAACGATTTATCTGTTACATCGATCAGTCTGCTTTATCGTAAACAGTTATTCCTGTTTTAATGTCCACATATATGACAACTGTTTACTTTCAGTCTTATCACCAGGCTTGAGTGTGTATAGCCCTATATGAAATTCATACACACAATACACCATATATGAAGTTTTGTACTGACTAGCCTATTATATAATACATTACACGATTCATCTTCACTTTCTTAAATCAAAGATGTACGTAGGGAAGGCAGTATGCTTTGAACTCAGTTACTCGGGGACATTTCATATGTACCATACTACACATCACACTAATTGTGTAAAGAACGAAAGTACTGCATGCTTTACCAGGCCAAAGCAGGTGGAACAGAACTAAAACCCATGACAGAGAGTGGAAGTCATGTTCAAGTGAGTGAATCAAATCTCTCACCGTACGAAGTCTAGATGAAGAGTAGAACTGATCATATTTATCATCTGAGATGCAGCAAATTGGATAGCCTAGACAATGAATTTCATATGGTACTTTGGAAAGTGGACAAATACCTGGTTGTGTATGTACCACACTTCCGAGTTTCTCCAAAGTGAAAAGATATCTATTTGACTTTCGGTAAATGCAGTTTCTGCTGTATGACTTTAACAAACCAAAGCCACTTCTTTTATAAAATTTAATCACTTATATTTAACAGTCGTTCCAAAAAGTATGTCGCATACTTCAACGAGCACCCACACAATATTTTAAGATTATCCACCTGCATTCCTTAAAAGTAGCTGCAAGAAGTAATGATCTAATGTTGCATGGTTTTAAATTTACAGTAATATAGGTAAAAACCCATCGACTGGATACATGCTCATTGAATACATTGAATAAACAGGTAAATTATGTTTTTTTAGTAATGACCATCCCATCGCCTTTCTTATATAAACTTCCTGTTTAATCATGTTATTTTTTAAGTTTTTGTTAATCCCTGTTTACACTACCATATTTTCATATCCGAACTCCGTGTTTATTTCGTCATTTTACTATTTCTGCATATTTAATCCCTGATTGCATAAACAATTATTCATCACATTAGTTTTTATCCAAACATCCTGTCTATTTTGTTATTTCTACATGTCTAGCCCCTAATTGCAACAATGTCAGTCATCTTAGTTATTATGATGCTGCTTTGTTTGTTTAATCCGTCCCACTGTTTATTATGGCATTCGAATTCCTAATTGTAATTTTTACTAATTTGACCCTTAACCGGAAATTATTCTGGAACTTTCCCATCCATTTGATATAAATACACGAATGTACAGCCTAGATGATGACTTCGTCGAAAAGAAAATTTTCTTCGCTGCAACTCCTATGACTCAATGTGTATATTCCGTGATATGAAGGAATACACTATAGTTACACCTAGTATAAAAGTTAGTGAAACCACTAAACCTCAGTGAAGGTAGGAGATATTCAACATATGATCCAATTATTAAACACAAGTACTTATAAACTGACGAACTTAAAAGTAACAGCCACAGATGCAGTCTTTCAAAAGACAACATCAGATTATCTACCGAAGAAAGTAAATCACATCCGTACAATTTATCCTTATTCCTAACAAACAGCCAAATATTTGAATTCGGAGTATAATAAGAGCGTAGTATAACTCATTTCCTAATTAAACAAACTAACAACTGTACCGATCTAAACAAGAGTCATTCAGTTGAAAATTTAGTTACCTTGTTCATGCTTAAAACCGTAGTTGTTAAAGGTTGTGATTCATCTGTGCTTCCATCGCCACAACGAGATAAATGTTGGTAAACCGGCTGAAATGTAAGTATTTAATGAGAAACATTTTAGTGAGCTAATATATTAACGTAAAAGTACCTGTATACTAGTTACACGATTCAATGATTCATACAAATTCCCTACACATCAAAACGTTTCACGATGTCTGTGATCATTCTTATTTTCTACCTTCAGCAGCAATGAAGCAGGAGAGAGAGGACAACTATGCAACAGACAAAATCCATAGGCGGATATCACATCCATGCTAAAGATAACGCAAGTTAGCAAGTGCTAAACAGTCTTCGATATATATATAAACTTAGGTAACTAGAGCACATGTCCCAAGTCATCACTCCTTTTCACAAGCAATGCTACCGGAAAGGGATATGGCTGAGAATGTGACAGAATTCATGACGTGAAAACATGGCACCAACTCACGAAGTCACCGACTGTTGGGTCTCAGCCACGCATATAAGGTGGGCACTGTCTGGGGGGGGGTCATCGAAACACTACGAACATATGGCTGCAGACTACATATCAGATAGTTCAAAATCGTTTATAGTGGCACTAATGTTTTAACTCCTTGTGATTTTCCAGCATTTGGACAAATCCACAACTGGTCAAGTAATCATTCCTGACTTCACACCCCCTTTTATTTCAGCTCCCTCATTGAGTGATTTTCAAAAGTGAGGCTAATTGAACTAAGTAAAGTTGTGCGCTCAATCACTAGTCAATTAGCACATAACCTAAACTAGTATTGCAAGGCCACGTGTACTAGGAACCATACAATGGAAATCGCAGTAATACTGTTACCTCATCGTTTAAACCTGCATGAATAATATGTGTCAGTCCAAGTCAGAGGGTATTCTGTCTGTCTCTGTCTGGATTCAACAAAGAACTTGGCACCAAAGTGCACCAGTTCGAGTTGCCACGTTCCAAATAGCACACAAAGGTAGACGAGAAGATGAGTGAAGAGAATCAATACAGTCTGACAAGTATAAGAGTGAAACAGAATGGGTAATGGTAGAAAGGAATATGAAAGATTACAGAGACTGAATACATCTGCGCTGGCCATTGACTACGATTTTGAGCCATGTCACCTATTGTCTCCAGCCATTGATTCCTAGAGTCCCGAGGGACCCAACCCGGGAGTCTGCATCTCCCCACCTGACTCAGTTTAACTGTCAAGGATTTCATGGATTGATGTCATGTTTTTGTTTGGCCATCACTTACTCTTTTCCAACCTGCACCTATATCAGCTAGTAATGCCCGTCGTCGGGGGAGGCGATGGTTAGGCATGCGCACCACCTGACCTAGCCATCTCAATCTATGTAACTTTATAGCCTCGTCGGTTGATTTTCCCTCTTTGCCCAACACTACGCCTAACGTCAACATTACTTACCTTATTAAACCACCTAACGTGAGATAGAGATCGTAGACATCTATGATCGAAAGCAGTCGATCTTTTCATGTCTTCAACTCGTATTGGCCATGTTTCAGAGCCATAGAGAAGGACGGAGCGAACTGATGAGCAGTACACACGTCCCTCGGTTGATAGCCGGATGTCACGCCTACGCCAGAGATGGTGTAAGTCAGCGAAAGCAGCTTGGACTTTTCGTATCCGTGCTGAGATTACATCGCCAATCAGTTCGTTGGTGCTGATACAACTTCCTATATAGGTGAAGTGGTCAACATGTTCTATCACTTCACTCCCTATCACTAAGCTAGGAGTTGACGTAGTCCAGACCTGTAGCAGCATCTTACATTTTGTACGGGCGAATCGCATGCCAAACATACGAAGATTGCTGCTCAAGGTGTTCAGAAGACTCTGCATTTTGTCAGCATCCTCACCTAACAGGACTATGTCATCTGCATATTCTAAGTCCATAAGACTATTCCCTGGTAACAAGTCGATTCCTAAGTCGTTACGTTCAGTTAAGGATACTTCCATCAGCATATCTATGATGAAGTTAAACAGAAATGGGGAAAGTGGACATCCCTGTCAGACACTACTGGTTGTTATCAATTCGGATGACAATTCCCCATAAGCCCTTACACGACTACGTGAGTTTGAATAGAGTGCCTTGATTAGTGCAATGTACTTTCTTGGTACTCGCTTCACAGTCAGACATTGCCATAGTACCTTTCGATCCACGGAGTCGAAGGCCGCCTTCAAGTCAAGAAATATGGCAATTGTTGGACGCCGAAAAGTGTGTCTATGTTCTAGAATCTGTCGAAGAGTGAAGATATGATCTATGCAACCTCTACCTGGTCTAAAGCCTGCTTGATTTTCTCTCGTTTACTCCTCCCGAGTTCTGCTTAGTCTATGCATGATTAGAAAGTCACTATACAGAGGTCATACTAGAATTTCTCATTAACACTGAGGTTAAGCATACCATCAGTCTTCCTTGCAAAGTATTAGTTAGTGACAGTATTAATCAGGTATTGAAGCATTCCCGTTGACTTAATCAAGAATTCGAAAAAGGCAAATCTCATAGAAATGAGGAAACGGAAACATTAATCAACAACCAGTTATACTCATATACTCTTGGTAAATGAAAAACAAACTGTATGAGGAATGGTGATACCACATTGTCGCCCAAACCTTGGTAGGTAAACCTAGGCTTCAACACGGCCCTATGGTCAAAAGTTACGTTCTTATAGTAATGAGCCACACCTTTTGCTACTAAACATAAACAGAAATCTCACTGTAAGCTTACATTTTAATACACACCATAGGCATTATGTTAAATATCTGAGTATGACATTTTCCAGACGAATCAAAAGCTCAAAGCATTCCAGAGTGACGATCAAGATAACCACATTATAACAGAGCCCAGAGGACGACTTCCTGGAGCTGTTATACAAGAACTGTTTGGTGTGGTCTTCGGAGTTGTGTCCGTATAAGGAACTTAACGCCAACTACGGGCCACTGCAAGTTGGGATGTAAAATTTTGTCTAACTTTCCTAACTTTTCTGCACATTGTGAGAAGGTAGCCAAGCTGACTTGTTGATCGTATGGGTAAAATGTATTATTTTGTCACACCTCTAGTCACTAGCAACACGACTTCGCTCACAGAACACCCAATACATTGTGTAGGTTATTTACACCATGGTGATAACTGCTTTTATTTTAACCGCTAACCAAAAGAAATTTCTAATACAGGAGAACCTACAGGAACATTTATTCTGGCTTGTGTACTTCGTTAAGTTAATGTGACAAGCAAAGTCAACCACATCAAAGTAACAGCTATTGGTCGGGGAATTTGCATGAAATATCAACTGCCGCCATAATCAGGATAATACATACCGTAGAAGCGACTCAATTTACTTGTCGCTTACGGTACACATTGGGGCAATATTTACTGGGGGATGTTAGGAACACACCATAGTGCTTACAGCTACAGCACAAAATCAAAACCAACTGGTCAGTATACTCATTTTTCAGCTTCGTGCCCTTGAAATACAAACGCTATGTGATAAAGTGCTTGGTCCACAAAGCAAGAGTAATCTACTCGGATGAATGCCTTGATGAGGAACTTAATAATATTAAACGGTTGCTGAGTGAAAACGGTTATCCAGGAAATTTCATTGATAAGAATATGAATAAAAAATTACGGCATCCCAAGGTACCAATAGTTCCTAAAAAGGCCTTATTCTTACAAATTTAGTTCCTCGGTACTACCACAAAGGAATGGGTTAAGGAGTGTTTCCTGCTGCTGAATTACACCGTCTTCAAGACCACCCTCATATTGCGTTCTGGAGTAAAATAAAAACTGCCTAATTTCGCCTCTTCCATGTGTATCTACCAATTTAACTGCTCCTGTGAAACCGGTTGCATAGGCCGTACAGTACATTTAGGCATGTTTCCTGGCGGATATCCAAACATCATCCTGCGTGATTAAGTAAAGGACAAACAAAATGCATTCATAGAGCTATTCTATCTTATCTTGTGGATACATACCACAAAAATCTAATTTTTGTCCAAAAGATCAGAATGACCCTCATTTTTTGTAGAAATTTCCTTAATTTTAGTTGATAATCTATTTTTATTATAATAATAATTTATGCATCTTCTATGCACTGTAATTCCATTGATCTTATTTAACGAATCGATATTATTTAAAAAACAATATTGTTACTGACTACTAGTGCACAATATTCTGTGTATATGAGCATGTATATAATTGTAGATCCATAAGATGAAATTATCGAATAGCATAGTTTTCACCTAAATATTTTGTTTATAGACGTCAAATTCATTACGGTTTATTCCACTTCCCTGTTCCAACAATACCTCAGTAGCAATTAATAAGATTATTTGCACAGAATTTAACTTAGTAAAAATGTATAACTTTTGACACGCTACAAGAGTATTATGATCTGCGGCAACTCAAGTCTTACGCTAAATTTACTAAATTAACTACCCATTACAGAAGTGAGAAGTTATCCCGCAAATACAGTTAAATGTTAGCTTGATTTAAATGAAGGTTACTAACCTTAGAATCTGCAAAAGCCAACCAACGAACTCCAAGGGAAGAAGGAACACTTTTCGGCAAGAGATTAGGCCACAGAATAGGTTTGACATCTAAGTAAATAAATATAACAATGGTCAACCTACGTGTAATTGTGTAACATTCTGAAAGTGTACATGCTGCTAACACGGTTATCGAATCAGTCCTCGTCACCATCACAAACCTGAATTCTAATCAAATAAGAGTTTTGGTCCCACCTATCATTCGCATCGACTGACAAAACTTTGGATTCAAAAGAGTATGACAAAACAACTTTCCGATCACACAACGAAATAAATCGTACTTGCCACTGGTATGATAAACAACTAAAGAGGATAACGATAAATAGCTGAAAAGGTTACTTGAAGGTATCACAGATAGCCATAAGAGGTCTGCTAGCAAAAAAAGAATCACCAAGGTCTGTTATTAGGAGTACAAGTGACCACCTTACTTGTAGGTGTTGGTAGCAGCTTTAAATCTATTGTACAAGTATTCCGTTCAGCATACAACAGGGTAGCATTACCATCAAACTACAGTATTAGTAATAGAGGAAAGTTACCGAAATTCCCCAAATATATGACCCCTTGCACGTGACCAAGGACATAACAATAGAATAGGCCAGACTACATCCTAACGAGCGACAATGTGCTTGTATGAAATATTTAACCTACTGGTGGCATCACATTCCTCAAATTTAACGCAAAACACCTGTTCTGAAGGACCACAAGTACGATATTGATTTCGTGGCATGTAGTCACTCAAAACTCCCATAACACTTGTGACTATATTCTTCTCACTAGACTTTTCCGGCGATACGTGAACGAAGGGCTGCATTATGTACAAAGAGACGATTGGTTACAAAAGAAATCCAAACGCCGACAGTCACATATTTCAAAAACAGATAAGACAACCTTATGATTGTCTGACCAATGACCTTAAAGCCTAGGTCAAGTGACTTGTTGTCCAATGTCCAATGTCTATTCTGCGATTCATCAGAAGTCCTTGTAATCCTTTAGTGCTTGTTCATTGCTGTTTCCGAATTCTTCATACCTCTGGCACTTTCTAGTAAAATCTATAACCGCATCCAGTGCAGCTTCGCAAGATAGTAGCACTCCAACTACCCGGGAATTCCCTTGCACATGCAGTTATCAGGTTAGTTTGAGAACATTCGACACAAAGCAGTAAAAATCAAGTAATAAGGATGGCTATGGGATAAAAGGATTGGGAAATGAGCGATAATGAATTAGGAAAGGTTGCAAGACAAATAATTGAGAAAGTTCTTAAGAAGCTGACGGTATTGACGTTCGCGAATAGGACGGAGTATACTAACCCAAGATCTTGTATCAGCAACTTCTAAAGTGTTCGTTTCTCGTGTTAATGTGAAGTCAATAGCTCTATATCTCTTAATGTGGTCCACTGAATCACTAGTCATTAGATTTTTCCCACAAACTAAAGACAAAATGACAGCATCCGTAAATCATGTATTTAAATATGTAATTTAAACATTACTTATGCATGCCTGTACAATTGGAGTCGTCAATAGTGTGAGTATAGTATGTCGGATCAAATTTATCAATTTCATCCAAGGACTTCAACAGAAGACATGTGAAGAATTTTACAAAACTCTCTCGAAATCCCTGACAAAGGAGAAATTGTGTGACGATTTTCCTGAAAATCCTGATGAGTTTATCTGCAATCTGTCGAGTCTGAAGCTAAATCGCATTGAAATGGAATCACTTTCTCTTGGATTTAACTTTCACATCCCAAATAAGTTTGTCGAAAGAACTGATGTCCCAGTTCAATTCGAAAACGTATTCTATCAGTTGAGTGACCTCACTCCAGTTGATGATGACAAGAGGAGCTGGTTCAAATCGAAGCTCGTCGACGTTGCAAATCAATACCTCATTTCTCCAACGTCATATTCCAAAGTCTTTTCTGAAGAGCATCTAAGAGCATTGAAAGCTCTCAAGAATAATGACAACATTTTTATATTGAGACCTTACAAAGGCTCGGGTGTGGTGCTGATGGACAAAGAGGACTACATCGCAAAGATGAAAGCTGTGTTAAATGACCCGTCGAGGTTTAAAGTTGACAGTTGCCAGAAAGATAAGAAGATGCTGCCGAAAAACGTATCACAAACGCCTTGAGAGATCTCCTAAAGAAGAAATTGACTGACAACAACACGTACAATGATTTGAAACCTCGAGGGTCCCGCTTGCCACACATGTATGGCGTTCCGAAGATACTCAAAGAACAAGTCCTCCTGAGACCCATACTTTCGATGATCAACTCGCCCTAACATAAGGTGGCACGTTGGCTTAGGGAGAAGTTGGAACCTATTCGTCAACGGCTAGGCGTGCACACGGTGAAAGACTCATTTCATTTCTCTGAAAGTGTGAACCACATGAACGTTCTAAATAAATTCATGGTGTCATTTGATGTAACCTCCCTATTCACAATGATTCCAATCAATGAAGCTATTGAGATCATTTGTCAGCAGTCCGATCTTCTCCCAGTATCGGAATTCAAACGCCTACTGCGTATATGTACTATGGATGTGCAATTTCAATTTGACAACACGTTTTACCGCCAAATAGATGGTGTAGCTATGGGCAGTCCACTTAGCCCTGTTCTAGCAGACATATTCATGTCAAATCTTGAAAGAACAAAGTTGAAGCATGCAATCAACGAAACATCCTCCTACTGTCGTTATGTTGATGAAACATTTATAGTGTGCAAAACTGAAAGTCATGCTTCACACTTACTAAGATTATTCAATGATGCACACGCCAATATTGAGTTCACTATGGAACATGAAAGTGACGGAAAGTTTCACTTCCTCGACATCGCCATGGAACGCCTAGAAGACGGTAGTCTTCAGAAGTCAATTTATCGCAAGTCCACACGGAAAGGACAATACTTTGATTTTAATAGCTTTTGTCCAAATAGCTTTAAACGGGGTCTAGTCAAGACTCTGTACTATAGAGCGAGGAGAATATGCTCTATAGAAAAACTAGAGGAGGAGTTTGAGTTCCTTGAAAGGATATTGAAGAGAAATGGGTATCCTCAAAAGTTCATCAACAAATATGGAAGATCTGAAGTTACAAATGTAAAACAAATCACAGTGGGTAAAAAGCCAGTTTACGTCCAGCTTGACTATAAAGGGCGAAAACATTGCAGCGATGATCAACAGAAGGCTGAGTACATCACTAATCATAGAATACCCTGCAGCTGAGCACGTTCCCGTCTATCGAGCAACTTGCTGTTTGGTGCAATCAAAAATCGATAGATATCCTTCTCATGTTAACTCCAACTGTATATACAAATTTACGTGTATCTGCGGGAGCAGTTTCATTGGAAGAACAGAAAGAAGGGCATATCTACGATCTTCTGAACACGTACCAAAATGCTTACGTCGTTCAAAATTATCAATAGGCAAAAGAGCTCAATTCTCCTTAAGTTTTCTGAAGCGATTTCTATCAAACGCTTGAAACCGGATCTATGTGTTCAGAAAGAAGCGGTTATTAGACTTTCCTTGCCTTGGTAACTAGATGCCTTTTTTCTCTCATCTGATTACGTAATCTTTGTCTTTAACCTCACCCTCCCTTTTATAATCTGCAGTTTTGCTTGTCTCTTGTTTCTCTGATTTGAGCTCAACTAAGTACATTGTTACCTAACTTACTAGTCACTGTGCATCTAACGCACATCTCATCTTTATTACGTAACCCCTTTAACATTTTCTGCATACATTTATTTTCTTTTAACTTGAACCGTCCGTGCGAAAACTATATAAGCGCAATCTTCTGAGCACTGTTTACTAATTGTGGAATTTTCTGTCAACTGACAACATGTAAAATTTGCAAGTATGTTAAAAACATGTCTGTACTTAAACCTCATAATTTATTCAGGCTTTAAGCAGCTGATGAGAAGCCAACGAAAAAAATGATGGTACCACATTATTCTGCTAACACTGTAGTTCTTGCTTTGTTCAACTTGTGTATCTTACGTAGGTAGGAATAAATATGCACCTTATGATAATATCATTACTAAATATGCCTACTAATAGTATGTGTAATTTATCGAATTGAAGACGCCTATAAACTGGCGTCCCTCAGTGTTAGGACTATCGCCTAACCAGCTAGTGGTCGTGCACGAACAAATGAAAGGAACACAGCAGATTGCAAAGCGGTATTGGATACTTGATTGAGAGCTTCCAGCTAAACGAGTAGACTTGAATAGTGAGGATCAGCATGCAATGTTGACTAATGAATGTTGCGGCTAATAATTTTGGAGAATTATCTACCGTTATATCTCAAAGTTATCTACAGCGCCGAATATAGTCACTGTAGAACCCTACATGTTCTCCGCTTGCACCCAACCGAAGCGTTAGCAATGCATTGACTGAAACCTAAATTATGTGCTCAAAAACGTCGTTAAAATCCCCTTCTTCACATGGGGCTTGGCAAAGTCTTTTCAAAATAAACTGCTCTATTTTACCATTTCAACTAATTCCACTATATCTCCGCTGTCAATCACGTCTCATAAACCGTTAATGCCCAGCTCTCGCTACGCTCGGGCCCACGCTGTTCTTCGAAGATTTCAGAAACGCTTAGTTATAACGGACGAAAAAGAAAAAAAGAATAAGCGAACTAATGTCTGAAAAAAATATTACAATAATAAATCATAAGATTACTTCTGACGATGTTTCACTCTTCTTTCTGAACAGCGACCAATGAGACGACGACTGTAGTATTGATGCCTCCGCGAAAATTGGGGAAGTTGATTTTAAGTAAACAACCAAGAATTGATCGTTCAATCTTCAACTACATTGACACTCCCCAGCAAAAATGCGATCCATCCCTTTTTTCCATCACCACCAATACACGTTGACTTGGATGCCATTGCGACAAACTGGGTCACACGGACAAGGCTAAAACGAAAAACAAACAGCAAAGCCAACACACCACGGGCATACCCACAGCACAATCTCACTAATTGACGGTGACCTACGCCTTCTAGTTAAAGGCATCCTCTCGACATCTTGCAAAACAATCGCCACTTACTAGAATGATTCTTGCAGAATGCAACGTGACCATAGCACCAACTCATGATACTCTACGCACATCCTCTTATCCACTCACTACCAATTACCACTACAATCGCTTGTCACTCATTCTGCCTCAGTTCTAGTAGCGGTGACGCATGCGAGCCTCAGTCGTTTACACTCTTTCTCCCCGGCGTGTCGGACCGCAGCTAACAATTATCTCCGTGTGCATTTCATTCTCAGCAATAGCCTAGCCTCCCCGGCGTATACGACTCATCTGCTGTCCTTAACATCAATCAATTCATTCATGGATGTAGAAGACTCGAAACAACTTCAGAAATAATCACGACGAAAATTTTAACAAAATTACGCATTAACAACAAGACACGAAAACAACAAGTAAACACAATGAATCCAAAATACACCAATTGCTATGACACACCACACGTGTATACAAATAGTACAAACAACCTCGCCGATCATCTCTTGGTGGAATTCCTTTGAAGAATTGCAGGACTTACACCAGTACGCCTACAACCCTTCTCAGGTTGACGATTGTAATTTGTGGAATGTCCGGACACAAACAAGATTAACCAACAATTGCGATAATTGGAACTCAAACAAATATTTAACACAAACATATGTACAATTGTGGTGAGAGCAGGCCGTGAGAAAATATGAGCAAGGCTGATTCAACAACCAATCACAGCAAAGTTAACGTGGCAAAATATGATTCGCAGATAGAGAACTCTGTTTGTCGAGGAATCCCGAAACAGCCAATCGGAAGCCTGCGTTTGTCTGCCTAACTTCTGATAAACAACCAATCAGATGACTGCGCTTGTCTACTTGCATAAGCTATAATAATGTATGTGAAATATGTATAAATACGTGTTGATTTTCATAATAAAACGATCTGTTGCCTGGCCCTTGTCATCTGTTGTTACACAATCACTACATCAAATGTTGTGGATTCCGGCATGACAAACTACCCTTGAAGAACTGTAGGACTTACAGCAGTACGCCTACATTCCTTCTCAGGTTGATGATCCAAGTGGAAGTCGTCCGGACACAAACAGAATTACCAACAGCTAGATGACAGATGATATCA